ATCCAACAGACCACAGGAGTAAGGTATTACGTCATACTGACGGCCTGAACCTGTATAACTCGTGTGTCTCTGTTGCCTTCTTGTTCTCGATTACACGCATCTCTGCCGATCAATCTACCTTCGTGGGATACTCCTCGGAGGACTGCCGACGATATTCTGTCGACAACATCAGCCCTGAAAGTGATATTTCTCCTAAGTCTGGAGTTGTAATGGTCCATCCAATTTTTAATGTAATTCTGAAACCCTGTCAGACCAAAATTATGTGCTTGTAAACATTTTGTAGGTATTCAGTTTTTTGTTATTCAATAGTGAAATCACTTTCATGGCACTTTGTTTCTTACGTTGTCATGGAGATCATTGTTATTCAATAGCGAAATCACTTTCATGGCACTTTGGCACTTTGTTTCTTTCGTTGTCATGGAGATCATTGTTATTCAACAGTGAAATCACTTTCATGGCACTATGTTTCTTTCGTCATCATGGAGATCAATAATACGTGCCATATGTGACCAATTTGCTTGCTGGTATCAAATAAACTTTTTTGCAAGTGTTATGATTTCCTTCTCTCCCATTTACTGAACACAACTACTTTTACTATGCAAAGTATGATATTTGTATATTCTTTCTCTATTATCTCCTAGCTGGTCTATTAATTTTTATGGTATGGTGATAGACAATGTCAGTTCTCTTTTGTAAGGCCACGAGAAAAGAAAATTCCCAGGAAAATCATTACAAATGATCTTCCAGAATGCTATACTGCTGTATGTGGAATATACTCATGTTGGCATCTTGCAGTCTATTCGTTTCGGCTTATACGATCGTGGATTATAAGCTGGAATAGTATTTTTCTCTCACACCAAACCAGCCAACAGTACTTCTGGCTTAGCTGGGCTCTTGTGCAGCTGGGCCCAAGAAGCAGCACCATTAATTCTGCCTTTGGGAGCTAGGACCAGAAGTGTGTAGCTTTGTTATTGAGTATTGCTAGTGAGCTTAGGAGTTTTGTGCTTTTGCTTCACTAGTTGTGTAGGAGCTTCCTCAGTTGTGTGAAGTACTAGTTGCATATGTTTGTGTGATCTTACAAGCTAGAATTGTTAGGTGCGATCTAGCTAGCCCGGCACCTTTGTTTCCTATTTAGGATCTTTGTAAGGTGCTTAAGAACTTCGATTGAGGGGTGTAGTCTTGGCTAGACTGATAGTTTTAATTCCACATTTGTTTCGGTTAGCCAGTACGATTAAATTTAAAAAGGATTATTCATCCCTCTCTGATCTGCCATCTTGACCCTACACCGTGACCAAGCATTAGCGAAAAGAGAGGGATGTGAAGAGTAAATAGAAAGAAAATATAGTTTCAGTTGATAAATAACTAAAGATAAATAACAGAGAAGGCCTAAATAGTTATGGAAATAGTTTACGACTCCCACAGTGCAAAATCATTTATTAGCTTTTCATTATTTTCTGAAAATGTTGAAATCACCTTAAACTTTTAAAATGCATAATAATAAATCACACAAGTATTAAGAAAAGTGGAAGCAATGTTATTATGTTTTTATAGACTAGATCTACACGATATATATAGGTGATGAAAATTATGAAATATGCTTTATATTTTGTATATGTAATTAGACTAGATATATGCCCGTGCGTTGCACGGGGCCATAAGAGTATTGGTGTTTATTTTTTTTATTATGGATGTGCGTACATATACATATACGATCGTATTTCTTCAATTATTTTATAAGGGAAAACAGTCACTGTGATGTCATAATGACATCACATGTCGTCACGTCCACATGGCCATGCAGTGCGCGTTGAAGAGGGGCACGACGAGTGAGCCGTCGCGGGTGCTGCCGTGTAGGTGGTCGTGGAGCGCGCCGTGGAGAGTATAAACTCGAATACCGGGATGCGCTTGTCGCAGAAGCCCAATAGTTGCAGCAGGTTGTTGTTCACGTGTGACATCAGCAGAAGCTCCACGCAGAGCGCGCTCTGCGTCGAAGTGACACCGCCGACGGCCACCAATGCCGCTGCGCTCTGCCTGCTTGCTGGCCACCTCGCACCTGTAGGGAAGCTTGGCGTGGTACACCGATCCGATGCTGCCGCTCCCGAGAGCCTGTTGGTGAGGCGCGACGGTTCCCGGAAGGCATGGAACCGGAGAGAATTCAGAAAACAAGGATTCGAACAGAGAGGAAAAAGGCCACGATATTTTGCCCATACCTACAGCGAGACGATAATCATCCTAGATCTATATCTGTGTGCTGTAACGAGAGTGAGAAATTTTAACATAAAAAGAGAAGCACTTAGGAAAATGTTGAGTCATTGAATTTCAGGAGCCTATCTTTTTTTATTGCTGTTCAGAATAATGCAATCTTTTATGGATAAGAAGATATAAAATTATATAATATGCAAACTTACGGCCCAAACTCCATCCGACCCATTGCAAGTAGCGTGTGTACGTCGTTTAGGACTTGAGCGTTGGCGTTTTGCGTTTTTGACGTTGAACATATATCGTTTTGGATTTGGATTCTGACAAGATATTTTCCCACTTCGAGCAGGGACCGGACGATGCGGTTTACAATCGATAGCATTGTAGCGGTTTTTCAAACTGCACCTGAAAACCAATTTTAACCGCATCTAAAAAGCTTTTCTATACTAGTGGAGGAGGCTGTCGAAGCCAGTAGTGGTGACACCACTGTGGGTGCCATTGCTCTTGAAGGAGACCACAAGGTTGGCACCACTGTCTATGCTTGATGCCAGGTCATTGCTGCCACCAGGGTTAACACTGTTGCCATGGATGAAAATTTGGTCGCTGACCGGCTGCCCTCACCTAGAGAGTGGTGATGTAGGTCGCCGTCACTAGTGGAGGAAGGGGACATTGCAAAGCTGGATCTGGGAATAGGTGGGGGTGGTGATCTAGGGGGGGCATTGCAGTTGGTGGGGTTCGATTGATGCAGGGCAGCTGGTAGCTATCAGATCTATATACACTCCTATTTCCGAAAGAAAGACATAAGCGAACTTAAAAGTAGTATCCAAGATATATTGTCAATGACCCATAATTTTGCTCTGGTATGTCTCTAGCTGTACGCATCATGTCATCCCACAGGACACATGAAACAAAAAGGTAGGCTCAACTAACTAGATGAGACAAACTACTATGAAAACAGAAACTGATAGATAAAATAAAAAGTATTACTCATTAATTTACTCAAAGCATCTATTTGTTTGAGTTGAAACACTACAAATTCTGTTGATTAAAGACAGAGTGAAAATTGTCCATAGAATACATTTATTTGTTATAGATATATAGAGTGGAAAAATTAGCTTGAGTATACTGATGGTAAAGATAGAGTGGAAAAGTCAGCTTGTCCCTCACTCTATCCCTTCTCCACATGCAGATGATGCAAACATAGAAGAATAATCAGATGGACCGATATCTAAATCTCTAAACCATTTTGCAATAGATGGTACTATGCCCATGGAAGCAATATAAAACTAATAGATATGCGATGCTTTCATGATGTGTGCGACTATAGCTTTGTTTTTCGAAAGCGTGCTTAGCACGTGCTTCATTAAGGGAAGTGGGAATCAAGGTACACAACCCGAAGGCCCGGTTGGCGAGTTGCCATAGGCGCGACGGGTAGAACACATACAAAGATCACCGGCTCGAACGGTGGAGCAGCAAGGTCGTAGTGCTGGCTAGACTAATTGTGCGACAGAGAGCTAGGGGAAGCCCGCTAGGCAGCAGGCGTGAAGATCGGCACGAAGCTCCGGAAGCCGGCCGCTATCCAGTCGTTGGCTTCGTGACGGATAAGAGATACGAGCTCGGTCGGCGTCTTGCAGGAGGAGTCGAAGGTCCTTCTATTGCGTTCCTTCCAAACCTCCCAAGAAACAAGCAGCACCAAGGAGTTGGTAACTAATTCAAGATTTACTTAATTAAAATAATAACATAACATACATAGTAATAGTTATTAGCCTGTGTACTTACTTAGATAAACAATAAAAACATACAAGAAACATAACCATGTAATTGAAGACTGGACCAAACTTGGAAGCAAGGTCTACCAGAAACCCTTTATTGCACATAGTTTCAGTCTCATATATCTGCATCTTAACTCCATGCATCAGCTCCCCCACAAGTGACTCAAAATTAAAAAGGTGGATTAAAGTAACTAGATGAGATTAACTGTTATCATGGAAAGAAACAAGAAACAAGGCCTAGTCACTGACACCTAGTATTTCTTTGTCTGGATCGAAAGAGAACAAATTCTGTTGGCGGAATAGTGGGGAAAAAAATGAGCTTGAGTCCCCCACACTTTACCCCTTTTCCATGTTTGGACTATGTAGAAATTATTTTCTAGCATAAGAGCAACAAACATTGGTGAATGGAACAAATACATACAATTATCGGTGCAAAATAAAAAGGAGGTCAAACAAAGCTACACTGCAGTGGAGGTAAAAAGAAAAACATAGCCTTGGAGCTAGTTATGAAGGAACTATCAATAACCAATGGACATCGTCTCCATTGCTCTAGCAGATTACCAAGTTAGTAATGCAGAAAACGTAACTAGCTAGTGTCACCCCATTTGAACCACTAGGAACCCATATAACATAACACCTAAGGGGCTGCAAAAAAAATAGATTTGAAGGTCACCAAATTGGAACAATCATACAAAATGAAGTGGTTGAGGGGAGGGGGTAAGTTATAAACTTCATGGGTTTTTAGGGGAGAAGCTGTGGAGATAAACCCTTATCTGGGGGGCTTTTTAATCATATCTTTTTAGGCACACACTGGATGGTGGGGACCAAAAAAAGGGGAGGACAAAAAATGTGTAGAGGGATAGTGACATAGGAGAGGAGATAAAGATGAGTTACCCTCACGCAAGGTAACAGCCCCCTTCCACCTATAAATGTCCCTTTCCCACACTTTTATCTCCATCAACAAATAATCTCAAATAAAGCTCACCATATCTAGAGTAGAGCCCACCATTCACCCAACTGTTCACATCCATGGATTTCTCTAAGCCCACAGCAAGTGAAGCCTCTGTGGATCTCAAGCCAGGGTTCAAGTTTAAACCTACTGAAGAGGAGATCGTGACATGCTACCTTCGTCCTCGTGCAGTGAATGAACCACTCCCCTCAACGTTCATTGTTGATTTGGTTATCCTAAGCTGCAACCCTTGGGACCTAGTACCAGGTCATGTGCACGTACACCAACCTTTCACAACAAATACATCTATAAGTTCCTTTTGATTTCATTTGATTGCTCCTGCTACAATCTGATCTGATCTATGTATGACTAAAATTCCCTGCTTGGTTTTCTTGTTTTATTGCTGTATGTACACAGTGGGATCTGTGGAGAAATACTTCTTTTGTCAAAGAGTACAAAGATGGCCACATGGAAACCGGTACAATCGTGCAGCAGGTGATGGACACTGGAGGGCATCGGGTAAGGACGTGCCCATCTTTAGCAATATCATCAATGGTGGAATGCCTTTGATGGTTGGGCTAAGGAAAACACTGGTGTTCTACCTTGTCAAGGCAGCAGCTGGTGAGAACACAGAATGGGTCATGCATGAATATAGCCTTGTTCAAGCCGGCCTCACACCCTATCCAGTGATTAGTCCCAGTGGAACCAACAACCTAGGAGAATACAGCCGTTATGCAGTGGCAATCACAAAGGTATATTGACTCAAAATCCAAAGAATTTTGTTCTTGAATACTATTGGTTGCATGTCAATTAGAGGAGGGGGGGGCTATACATGATAATCTGGATGGTTTAAGAGTGAATCTTACTACTAGGTGTGGCAAAATTTCTTATGTGGGGAAATAGTTATAGTTAGTTGTCCTTGGGCGGGATTCTTCGGAGATTCAAAATATTGATGTAAAAAGGAGTTTGTTGTCGGTTTGCTTGAAAGTAAGCTTGACTAGTTCGGCCAACAACACGTGTCGGTAACTTGTTTCTCGTGGAATTGTTGATGTAACATCTCAAGCATTGGGCCTATATCCTAACATAGAGTTGTTTATAGAGAACATCTAAAAACTATCTGATTCAATAACCTTCATCATTTTGACTAGTGAGAAAGACATATAATAAAAAAATTATTCATGCTGTCCAATTTGGTCAGTTGTAAAATTAGTAAACTCAAACTTAGCTTTTGTTGCCAAGCCTAGCTGCTGTCCTATGTAAAACAACATTAGTATTCACCATGTTTTACCCATTTTCACCTAAAATGACACTGCATAACAAATAGTTTTGTGAACTCTCTGTAGAAAAAGGATAATCTCTCTAAAGCTCTCTCCAATGCTACTACAAGTGTTCCCAAGGTTGTTCCTGTCATGACGATTAATTCAGATGACTCCTGGGTTGTCTGTCGCATCTTCAAGAAGAAGAAGAAGCATGCACTACGTGCCACTGCCCAGCGTTACAACATTGCAGATGGAGGGCAGGTCCGCTTCTTCAACTTCCTTGGGAAGGGTAATTTAGAGGGAACTTCTAGCTCAGGCAGCCTCACCGACCTACCAATAGAGAAGGCAAAGGATAATAATGAGGGTAGGGGTGGAACCAATGACAAAGATGACATCGAAAAAGATTACAAGACAAGAGATCCTGAGCTAGCAAAATACTTGCAATTTTTAAGAGAGCAAGAGAAATATTTTGAAGGCTTCACAGTAAAAAATATATCAAGGACAGACAACTCAGATGCTGACGAAATAGCAAAAGTTGCATCTCAAAATACAAGTTTGCCCCAAGATGTATTTTTCCAAGTCCTAACTCATACCTCTATCAGAGCAAAACAAGAAGTTCCAAGAGAAGTTCATATAATACAAAGCGAAGACTGGAGAGCACCAATCATGGCATATCTTCGCGGACATTATGAACTAGAAGACGAAGTTAATGAAGTCAGAATGAAACACAGGACAAGAAATTACAAAATCATCAACAATCAATTGTACAAGCAAGGAATTTGTGAACCACTTCTCAAGTGCATATCAGTAGAAGAAGGAAAAGAATTGCTATCAGAAATACATGAACGAATTTGTGACACACATCTAGGTGCAAGAGCCATGGCAGGGAAAGCATTTCGACAAGGAATTTATTGGCCCTCAACCCAAAGTGATAGTAAAGAAATAGTCAAGTCTTGTCATAATTGCCAAATGTCTGCTGGCAAAATAAGAGCTTCAGCAACAAACTTACAAACAATAGAACCAACTTGGCCACTTGCAAGATAGAAAATTGACATAATAGGGAAGCTGCCTCCAGCTCAAGGAAATTTCCAATACGTAGTGGTAGCAGTAGAATATTTTACAAAATGGATCGAAGCCAAGCTAGTAACAAATATGTCTTCCTTCACAATGAAGAAATTTCTATGGCAAAACATCATATGCCGTTTTGGAGTTCCAAGACACATTACAACAGATAATGGAACTAAATTTGACAGTCAAGATTTTAGAAATTATTATCAAAATATGGGAATCCAACTATGTTTTGCTTCGGTCAGACACCCACAGTCAAATGGTGCAGTCAAAAGAGCAAATGGAATCATATGCACTAGTATTTCAAAATGCCTAGTTAGGCTTCCTAAAGGAAAATGGGTCGATGAATTACCCAAAGTCATTTGGGCACACAATACAACTATTTTGAGATCAACAAACTTCACACCATTCAAGCTATTATATGGAGAAGAAGCAATGACACTTGAAGAAATAAAGTTTGAAGGCCGAAGAACCAATGTGCAAATTATTAAAGAAGAAGAGCAGATAACAAGCAAAGACTCACTTGAAGAAGAAAGGATGAAAGCAATCCAAAATCTCAAGAAATACCAAAAAAGAAACAAAGAATTGGTATAACAAGAAAGTAACACTATGTAAAAAAAGCACATCACAGATGTGTGTTTAGGGACATCACAGATGCCATTTCATGTTTGTAATAAGGATTATTACACATACTACAGACGCGTGTTGCCAATACGCGACTGTGACAAAAACAAACACGCGTCTGTGATAAGCCCTTAACAGAGACTGGTGAGTATCTACACACGTCTGCGACAAGATTAAGACGCGTATGTGTGAAGAACCATATCTCAGATGCGTGTCTGTTATGCGTGTCTATAGTAAGAATCCTACCACAAACAACATTTGTAAACGCGTCTGTGTGAAGAAACATAGTGCCGACACATGTGCAGTACACGCGTCTGTAGTAAGAATCCTACTACAAATGATGTTTGTAAACACGTCTGTGTGAAGAAACATAGTGCCGATGCGTGTACAATACACGCGTCTATAGTAAGAATCCTACTAAAGACGATGTTTGTAAAAGCGTCTGTGTGAAGAAACATAGTGCCGACGCGTGTACAATACACGCGTCTGTAGTAAGGACACTACTATGGACGATGTTTGTAAACATGTCTGTAGTAAGTAGCATACTATAGACTCGTATTCTCTACACATGTCTATAGTATTTTCCTTACCACAGACGGGTCTAGGCTACAGATGCGTCTATAGTAAGGAAAATGCTATAGACATGTCTGTAGCCTGGACCCATCTGTAGCCCACAACACAACCCAAATAGCACAGATATACATACATTATATATATATACATACACAGATCCCACAGAAATGACATATATATACAAGATCACAGCTGTTCATCTCAAAACTTAATTTGTTCATAGTACACACATATCACACACAGTTCACAGATCGATTGTTCATCACCAAGTTATTCTCGCATGTATATATCTCACTGCTCCAATTGTATCTCACAGGCTCCAAACACAGTTCATAGATCAAATGAACATATATACCAGGCACTTCATCATGGTTTTGTATGTGAACAATGAAACTCGCCTGTTTCGTCGAGGATCTGTGACACAATAAATGAGGCGAGCTTCTCTCTAATGTCCGCAAAGTTGATTGGAGTGGACTGCACTTCAAAATCCTAAGACAAAGATAGTCATAAGATGAAGTTGCACATGTGTATAGCCATCATCCATAAAATGAAGTTGCACAACAAGAGATGACAATATATATATATATATATATATATATATGACAGCAGCAGTACCAAAAATTACAAGTAAATATATATAAGCCATCCATAGTCTACAAAAGGTCATAGCAACAGATCACATCAGCGGCTTCATCTTGTTCCAGATCACAGCAACAGTTTCAAAAATGGACAGCAGTAGTATATATGACAACAAGAGGGGATCAAGGCATTCTAAGTAGATCACAACAGCTAAGTAGTAATAAATACATATATATTTACAGTTGTACCTGAGGATCAGTCAGATTGGCTTGTGGCATCGCCAGCATCAAGTAGTGGCCCGCAAAGAACCCACATGTGTGGTCCAGACCTTGCTACTGGCACTGCGAACATAGGAAACACATGGTTAATAATTGAATTGACAAAACGACTTCACAACTGGAAGTGAAGCACTACTTACTAGAATTTTGAATGCATGGGCCAACTTCAATTTTCTCTGCCCTTTCTTCGGCTTGGGTTGGCAATTGCCAAAAGCCCTACACATACATGAGTTGTTATTAATTTTTTTTGACTTCCACTAACATAATTAAGAAAGAATACAAGGGTCAACAATACTCACTCATCTATCACAGATTTGATAGGAGTCAAATCTGACTTCTTGCCTCTATTGGAGTCGAGGTATATCACCTTATGCCACATTCGAGCGATGATGACAGCAATCCAGTGCCCACCATAGTTATGTGCAAACATCACAAACTTTTTCTTGGAATATTTCCTTAGGTAATATTCCAGATAATCCATGCTATAGCCTCTATCAGTGTTCATAGTCTTTATTGACACTGGATCTAGATCAATGATGCCAACATGCACATCTTTGGACCTAGCCTCTACAATCAGGCATCTAGGAATAAAGAAGCATACAAAAGCAACTTAGCAAGCAAATATATGAAGAGCATCCCTAGCTAAAAATGAACAAGCCCAAGAAATAGATGAAATTATACTTACAGTGACAACATGTGAAGAAGTCCTACATCCAATCCATCAAGTTTGAAGAGGTCAAACAAGTCTTCTAATCCCACAGCAAAAAGCTCAGTGTCTGCCAAACGCAAAAAAATGCTATTTCTTAAAGACAGCAACCATCCCAGTTGTCCTCTTCTCTTCACATTCTTTCATGTACCAAGCATGAAGAGCAACACACCCTGGTCCTGCCTTCTCAAGCTCTGTTTCAGATAGGAACCGCTCTCCAAATTTGAACTTGGCGTTGGCCCTGTTCCATACAGATCCCTAGGGTCACTCTTAGACGATTTGGTGGGTTTCTCCACCTTCTGCTGCTTCTCCAATTTGCTACCACTCTTGACTGTTGTAGGCTATTTCAATGGGTTAGCTGGAGCAGTTGTGGACTTAGCCTTCTTCGACTTTGTCGGTGGGTCAGCTGGAGCAGTTGTGGACTTAGGCTGCTCCGGCGCTGCATCAGTCTCCTTTGAAGCACCTTTTTCTATAGTAGTGCCACTGTTCAGCTTGTCAACAGTGACACTCTTAGAGGCACTACTCTTCGCCTTCTCATCACCTATCACAAAGTCCTTTAGATTGCTTCTGGAGCTCACAGGCAGCGGAGGTCTTGATAACTTTGGAGAAGAGAGCACCTTTGGTGATACTGATACTATAATCTGTCCTCTCCTCCATTGGACCCTCTTGTATAGAGCCTATCCAAGAGTTCTTACCTCAGGACTTGGGGACGGACTCAACGGTCTATCCTCATGTTTCGGATGTACATAGTCAATATGTACAACAACATAATGTTCCATTACTAGTTATGAACATAGGTCAGTTTGCGCTGGGAAGACCTGACCCCTTGCTACCTCCATCTGATAACCTCCAGGGTTGATTACTAGGCTACACGGCGTTGGCTCTGTCAGAAGGTCCATAGTATCTGGATCTGGAGTTGCCTCAAGTCCGTCGAAGTAGTCTCTTTCGACTGCATCCGAGGCTGAGGCACAGCTGCTCTTTCGACCACCTATAGGGCTAGGAGTGTTGGAAGGTGACATCAAATGCTCTCCTTGGTCACGCAGCATGGCCATGATATCATTTGGGACCTTCTTGGTAATTTGTTCTATCACTTGGCTTTTAACTTCTTTGATGGCTTCCTGTAGCACCCGGTTTTAAGAACAAAACCAGATACGCACCATATGTGAGCCTAGGAAGTCAAATCTCACATATGGTTATAAATAAGGGTAATATCAATAGACAATGCTCAATATATAACATACTTAGTATAAAGAATATAACCTTAGATAGCAAACAGTGGAAAGACAACTCTGATCTTCAAGCGAAGACTCCAAATCCATAGGGACAACTGACTGGTTGATCACAAGCCTAATTCCTCCAAACTAGCAATCTGGTACCCATCCAGAATTTTTATCCAAATAATTGAAAAAAAATAAAGCAAGCATAAGTACATGTCGTACTCAACAAATATAACATGGGGTTCATGAGGCTCAAAAGGCTGACACTGGTTTACTGCATTTAGCTTTTAGTGAGTCATGATTTTAGCAATTGAGTAGCAACAAGTTTATTCACAAGCCCATACAAACACATGATCAGGTAAACATGAATAATGAATAGCATAAACAGTAATCATTAATGAGCATATTCATCATCAATATCATCCCTGTTCATCATCATTAACCATTAGTGATCATCTATTCTGTAAGGGTTCCAAGGCCGCTCATGACCGTGATCACGCGATGAACGGCTAAGGAAGGGATGGGCTTATTCCGTTGGCTGGAATAGGACCAAGACGGCGGGTGGCCATGGCCGGAAACAGAGCACCTCGCCGGAGTACTCCCAGGTGGCGATTCCGGGCTTGATTTCTTCAATGAATAGCATGGGGAGGTAGATAAGGTTACAGCTAACTCTATCGAGGTACAGGTTGAAGCCGGGGAGGGACGGGGGATGTCGGCACACGCGATTTGGCGGCGAAGTCACGCAAGGTACTGAGAGCGGGAGAGCGAGGGGAAGATGACTTTAAAAGGTTTCTTACCTCTACACGTAGGTCGGTAGAGGCTTAGGTCGGAGGTGAAGCTGCGGAGGTGACTCGGCGACATCAAGCTCCATGCGGTGGGATCCGGGCGGCGGCGCTAGGCTAGCTCGAGGCGAAGCGGTGTGAGATAGGGCGCGGGATAGGCGGCAGAGCGCAGGGGCTCGCTATTGATGGGACGGAGGAACTTGCGGCGCAAGGCAACGGCGAACTCGGCACGGCCATGGACACTCGACGCAGCGGGGAGAGTCTGGGACAGAGACATCATGAGGTAGGAGATGTTCCTGATAGTGGGGTCCCACCGGTCGGCGTCGAGAGAAAGAGAGGCCGGGCGGTCAGTGAAGGAGAGAGGGCGCGGGGACGGGCTGCTGCTGAGTTGGGTTGCGGTAGTTGCTTTGGCCGGTGTGGCTTTGCTGGGCCGGTGGAAACGGGCTGGCGCCATAGCGGGGGAGAGAAAGTACTTGGCCGAATGCAAGAGAGGAGGAGCTGGGCTACGTGCGGAGGAAAAAGAAGAAAGGCCGCGCTGATGGAGAAAGGAAAAAGGAGAGGGGAGAAGGTGGACCGGTGGGAGGAGAACAGCCGCCGGGAGAAAAAAAACAAACTGGGCCATGCAGGCCGAAAGGGAGAGAGAGGAGGAGAGAGGGGTTTTTTTTTCTGAATTCTTTTCTAGTTTGTTTTAAAAACCAAATTCAAATGTAACCCTAGTGCAACTTCAAATAAAGTTTTGAATATACTTTTCAATTCTAAATAAAAGTGAGCAAATTTTAGTAAGTTTTCAAAAATAATTTTTACAACTTTTTAAATTCTTTTATTTTCAAATTTTCTTTTCTTTTACTTCAAAACCATTTTTAATTTCTTTTACAAAAGCAATTTAAACCATTTTTGAAGTTTTAAATCAAAACCACTCCACCAAATAAATCAAATGCATCAGCATGTATGCACATCCATGTTGCTACTCCCTATAATGAATTTTAAATTAATGAAAATTTTTATTTTCCTATCATTTCATGAGAACAAAATTCCAAATTAAATCACTTGAGCTCTATTTCCAAAAATTCAAATTTTAGGGTGTTACACTTCCACATCCACATCACTTGTTGATTGCTTCCTCTTTCTGTACATGCCGGCGTAGTCCGGCTAATGCTTCCAACCACTGTAACTAGACACACCACCCACGCGGCCTATCTATTCTGGGCTGCCCAAGACCTTTGTGAGCACATCCTTTTCCCTAACCAAAGAGAGCCCTAAAGACTCAAGGGCTCCTTGCTTCTCTAAAATTAGCTTAGATACACTTTCAGCTGAATCTTTCAACCAACGAATCTCAGCACTTCCTTCTGACCTAACCAAAGTACTCTGTGCATGCAGAAAATTCCTTGGGTGACCACCTGAAAACTGGTCCCAAGGATTACTGATGTCTTGGGCGGCTAACTCCTAGTCCTCCTGCTCCCACTTTGCGGCTTTCCCTTCATACCCTCCTATCCCCAGGCAGTGGTCATTCTTGTTCCTCTCCTAAAGCTTCTTGTACTTCTCACTTGTTTCATTTGCTTCTTCACTATCCTTCAGTTTCACAAACGCTGTCCAATCTTCTATCGGAATGTATGTGTGCTTCACCATGGCATCCAACCCTTTGTTGATGAAATTGCGTGTAAGGTCACTTTTGTAGGTTCTCCAACTCTTGGCTACCATCTGCATTATCTTCTTACACACTGTAGCCTTCAATTTTTCTGGAAACTCCAACCAAGGCTGGACTCACTCATCAAATATAGTGATCTTGTCTTGTTCACTTAGTGAATTGAATGAAGACAGTACCAAGGAGATCCTTTGTCTAGCAATCAGACCAACCATCCTCCTCATTCTTATCTGGGCCCTCTTCTCTATGGGAAACCTAGTCAGAGTGAGCCCCGTGATGGTTAGTTTGTCATCTAGCCATCGGGTGACTGTCCTCTTTCTTGTCTGGGGTTTACAAGGAGGTTTAGATTGGTGTGCCTCTACATTAGCATATCTGTCTTCATCCTCTGTAGTACCATCTCCCTCTTGGTCCCTTGCATCCACATCTCTCTCTTCCTCCTCTTCATTAGCATCTCTGCTATGTCCCTCCTCTTCACTGTTAGTTGGTTCTTCATCTTCTCCTGCTGATGATACCGTAGATGCGTGATCAGACGCCTATCAAACAAAGGTGAGCAAGGTTGTTAGTGAACATGATAGAGCACTGACATCTAATAGTAACTAGTGTTCGTATGTCATGAGATGATGTACAATTCAGAATAGAAAATTCAGAGTAGACTAAAATACATCTACAAGTTTAGGCTATAGAACATCTCAATCCACTCAACAAGATCATCAACAACCAGATTAATAGTTTAGGAAGCAACAGAAAATACAACATTATGTAATACTAACTGAAATTCTCAGCTAAGTATGACCCACAAGAGTTTATACTGATCAACAAGCATAAGTAGAGATGAGCAAGTGTTCAGTAATATAGCAAAATTGATAGTCTAGATCAATATTTACAACCCATTGTACATCATCTACATGATAAGACTAAAATTAATGTACAAGTTTAGGCTCTAGAAACAAATGCTACTAGTCTAGTATTTCATTCATGTCATAGGCACAAGAACATCTCAATCCTCTCAACCAGAACAAAACTACTAGGTTCCATCATACAAGCATAACCAGACATTCTAATTTTCAAAAAATCCATCTACTGCTCCTTGTCTATCTACTATACTTGACAACTATCCATAAAAAATCCCTCAACTAGAAACAAACAGAGACTTGATAATCGCCTTTCCTACTATAAATCCTTGGCTATTGCAAAATCACTAAGCTGGTACATCTAACTGAAGAAAATCCATGTTAGAACTCACCAGGTGCGGTCAAAGGAGGAGGCTAGCACTATCGGAGAGGACAAAGGGGTTGCTGGAAGCGGAAGATGCTATCGACCTGTGACCTCTGCTCCACTCACAGTGCCTCCGGAATGACCTCCGCCACGCCCAACCGCTTTGGAGACGGTGCATCGTGCCCTACTGGACAGAGTTGGATACAATGGCGGAGGACAGCCTTAGAGACGGTGGCTATCGGACCTCGATGAACAGCATCGGAGAGGAAGGCGAGCGGACGCTGGACGCAGATGCGGAGGATGGGTGGATGCGGCAGCGGTGGAACCCTAGAATGCGGGGAGCGGACGGGGGTGAAGACGGCGGAGGCACGCGGATGCGGCGGCGACGGCGGGGAGCGGACAACGGAACCCTAGAATGCGGGAAGTTGGATGTGAATGGACTTGGAGAATGTGGGAAGGCTAAGAAATTTGGGAAAAAAGAGCGGGCAAAAGGAAATTTCTTACTATAGACACGTGTGGCCAAGACGCGTCTGTAGCAATAAAAAAAGCAGAGGCTCATGATTGTCATTTGGGTTTTTTCTGGCAATATATCCAGATACCAATTGCAAGCATCATTGTGAGGATGACATCGTAATCATGAGACTTCATGGGAAGCATCTTGTTTTCTCTTTCAAGCACAAGCTTTCAGATGTTGGCTACATATCCAGAGGGAAGTTTGACACTATGAAAGAAGTCGCACAATTCCTACTTCTCTTCTCGGGTCAGGTTTATGGCAGATAGAGGTGGCTAGGCACTGGTATCGTCAGGACGGAGCTCGAGCCTTATATCCAATTCCTCTAGGTCAACTCTTCCTTTTGCATGGTCCTTGGTTTTCCATTTGTCATTTATGAGTGT